TGGTCTGGGAAGCTCAGTCCTCACCTCCTTCTACAGGTGTGCAGTGGAGAGCATCCTGTGCTCCAGCATCAACGTGTGGCATGGAGGCTGCACAGCTGCAGAAAGAAAAGCTTTGCAGAGAGTGGTGAAGGCTGCACAGAAGTCTGTTGGAGTCAGCCTCCCCACCATCACAGACATCTACACCTCTAGATGCAGGAAGAGGGCTACCTGCATCATGAAGGACCCCACTCACCCAGCACACACACTTTTTGCCCCACTCCCCTCAGGAAGGAGGTTGAGGAGCATTAAGTGTAGAACCACTAGACTGAAGAACAGCTTCTACCCTAAGGCTGTTAGACTCATGAATCTCTAACTAGAATAATCACTGTGAAAAATCACATCATGTTGCTGCTGATCTGTTTCAATGTTGTGTTCATGCATGCACATCCGTTCACACAGACTCATGTTCATGTTTGTGCTGATGTTCAATGTTTTATGTTATTAGTGCTTAGTGTATATTTAGTTGATATTTTTCTTAGTTCATATCTTAGATGTTATTACTGTTTTTCTTATACATTTTATTTTTGGATGTAACTGGGACCCTGTGTACATAATCTCGCTCCACCACATGTACCACATGAGGTGCGAATGACAATAAAGAAACTCTGACTCTGACTCTGATGTTTTCAACAGTTTTACAACATTCTATTGCATAAAAGGTAGAGACACAATTCAGCACATTCACCTCTCCCCAGCGTGGCTAGGCATGAACTAAGAAGAGTAGTGTGAACCTATGGGAAGTGGCGCAACAACAGGAAGTAAGAAAATAAAAACTTCCACACCAGAGCAAAGTACAATACATATACAAGGAAAACAAACTTACATGGACAGTAAAAAAATGGGTTTGAGAAGAAGATCTTTACACACCTATTACACCAAGATGCTTTCCATCCATCCGTCCATCCATCCATCCATTTTCTTCTGCTTATCCGGGGTCGGGTTGCGGGTAGCAACTTAAGTAGGGAGGCCCAGACTTCCCTCTCCCCTGCCACTTGGGCCAGCTCCTCTGGGGGAATCCCGAGGCGTTCCCAGGCCAGCCGAGAAACATAGTCCCTCCAGCGTGTCCTGGGTCTTCCTCTGGGCCTCCTCCCGGTGGGATGTGTCCGGAACACCTCACCAGGGAGGCGTCCAGGAGGCATCCTAAACAGATGCCCAAGCCACTTCAACTGGCTCCTCTCGACGTGGAGAAGCAGCGGCTCTACTCTGAGTCCCTCCCGGATGATCGAGCTTCTCACCCTATCTCTAAGGGAGATCCCAGACACCCTGCGGAGAAAACTCATTTCGGCCGCTTGTATCCAAGATCTCGTTCTTTCGGTCACAACCCAAAGCTCATGACCTTAGATGAGGGTAAGAACGTAGATCGATCGGTAAATTGAGTGCTTCGCCTTTTGACTCAGCTCTCTCTTCACCATGACAGACATGTACAGCGCCTGCTTCACTGCAGACGCTGCACCTATCCGCCTATCAATCTCACACTCCATTTTTCCCTCATTCGTGAACAAGACACCAAGATACTTGAACTCCTCCACTTGGGGCAGGACTTCCTCCCTGACCCAGAGAGGGCATTCTACCCTTTTTTTCCAGCTCAAGACCATGGCCTCAGATTTGGAGGAACTGATCTTCATCCCGGCTGTGTCACACTCGGCTGCAAACCGCTCGAGCGAAAGCTGTAGATCAAGATCTGATGAAGCCAATAGGACCACATCATCTTCAAAAAGCAGAGACGCGATCCTAAGGCCACCAAAACGGATTCCCTCACTATCTTGGCTGCACCTAGAAATTCTGTCCATAAAAGTTATGAACCGAATCAGTGACAAAGGGCAACCTTGGCGGACTCCAACTCTCACCGGGAACGGGCCCGACTTACTGCCGGCAATACGGACCAGGCTTTGACACCGGTCATACAGGGACCTAACAGCCCGTATCAAAGGGCCCAGTACCCCATACTCCCAGAGTACCTCCCACAGGGTTCCCTGAGGGACACGCTTGGTCGAATGCCTTCTCCAAGTCCACAAGACACATATAGAATGGTTGGGCAAACTCCCACGCACCCTCCAGGACCCTGCTGAGGGTATAGAGCTGGTCCAGTGTTCCAAGACCAGGACGAAAAACGCACTGCTCCTCCTGAATCCGAGGTTCGACTTTCCGACAACCCTCCTCTCCAGAACACCCGAATAGACCTTACCAGGGAGGCTTAAGAGCGTGATCCCCCTGTAGTTGGAACACACTCTACGGTCCCCCTTTCTGAATAGGGGGACCACCACCCCGGTCTGCCAATCCAAGGGAACTTCCCCCGATGTCCACACAATATTGCAGAATCGGGTAAGCCAACACAACCCTACAACATCCAGAGACTTAAGGAACTCCGGACGATTCTCATCCACCCCTGGGGCCTTGCCACCATGGAGCTTTTTAACCACCTCGGTAACGTCAGCACCAGAGATTGAAGGGCCCGACCCAGAGTCCCCAGGCTCCACTTCCTCAGTGGAAGACTTGCCGGTGGGATTGAGGATGTCTTCAAAATATTCCACCCACTGACCCACGACATCCCGAGTTGAGGTCAGCAGCACACCACCCCCACTATAAACAGTGTTGGTGGTGTACCGCTCCCCCCACCGAGATGCCGGATGGTAGACCAGAATTGCCTCGAAGCCGTGCGGAAGTCATTCTCCATGGCCTCTCCAAACTCCTCCCATGCTTGAGTTTTTGCCTCAGCGACCATCCAAGTCGCATGTGGGACCCTTCCAGGGTCATGCCGCTTAGGACTCCCGGTACCCATCAGCTGCTTCCAGGGTCCCACAGGCCAAATAGGCCCGATAGGACTCCTCCTTCAGCCTGACAGCATCCCTTACTGCCTGTGTCCACCACTGGGTTCGAGGGTTGCTGCTGCAACAGGCACGACAACCTTGCAGCCGCAGCTTCGGAAAGCTGCCTCGGCAATAGAGGCATGGAACATGACTCACTCGGACTCAATGTCCCCTACTTCCCCCAGAATGTGTTCCAAGTTCTCCCAGAGGTGGGAGTTAAAGCTCTGTCTCACTTTCCATCCAGCAAACAAAATAAATAAAAAACTGTTCTTTTTGTACTCCTGTCCAAAATCAGCCTGTGACAATGTATAGCAAGTCCTCATTATTATTAGTTCTGTTTGGTTACACCATTCATGATTGATCTCCCCATAATTTCTAAGAGCGCCCGTGGAATTGAAATTTAAAAAGGATACCCACTTTTGATCTGATATCTAAATAGCTTCTACTACATCCTAGTTTTACCCTCCTGCTGCCCTTGGTTCAAAAAGCCTCAGTGTTAAGAATGATGCCTCGTTGGTCATTTTGAGGCAAGGGCAACAGGAGGGTTCCATGTGTTCTTACCATCTGAAATTCTTCTCTTGAATCTAAGAATTGTAAACCATATTTTTGTTTTGTTTTCAGGATACCCTGTCCCCATCTTCATCATCAGACGAAGACGACAGTGAGAAGAAATGGAGGCGACATCAAATCTCTATAAGAAAAAAGCTCAATTTGTTCTTCAAAAAGAAGGTAAAAGAGAAGAAGGAGAGGGACAAAGAGCAGAGACCAGATGAAGGTGGCCCTCATCCTCAGAGGCCCACTGATCTGCCGACTGCTAAAGAACCAGACAGACCAGAGGCTATCCTCTCTCCCAGTAAGCTCTTTGGCTTTTAAAATCAGACGAAACACAAGAAAATTTGTAGAATTGTCAATTGTCCATTGAAAGATGCAAATGGTCTACATGTGTGATTCTCTGAGGCCAAGTCATTTCAACATTACGTGTTAACATAAAAAGTTCTGGTCAAACAAGATGATTTATACTTTACATCAGAATCCTTAACCTACATACAGTATTTTAATTTATGTTAATACAATTTTAATTTCAATTTCTTTATCAATTTTTCAACATGAGGCTTAAAAGAGAGATGAGCATTGACCATGAGTTCCAAGTATTTGTAAGGATAGACAAATCCAATAGGAACACCGGATAGATAATAGATAGATATCGTAGATAAGATAGAAGGAAGGGCTGCTGATACCAATTTCCTTTTTGAAAACAACATCCCTTTGGTTTAATCATCATTTAGAACCAGTTTGAGACAGAACAAATCTGACTGAATGATGTCTAATGCAGACTGTAAAAGCTGGAAACCCTTAGCAACAGATTTAGCTCGATAATAAGCAACTGTATTGTCAGCATAGAAATATAAGGATATGTCAAGAATGTTCTGACCTACCGTACATTACTTATGCAGATTGTAAAGGGAGTGGGTCCTAAGACTGAGCCTTGTGGTACACTATTGTTGACAGTTAAATAACTGGAAGAAGTACCATTGTGTAGACATTGCCTCCGATCTGAGATAATTAGAAAACCAACCAACAGTGTAATCTGAGAAACCAATGTCTGAGAGCTTATGACATAAGATGTCATGATCTACAGTATCAAAAGCTTTAGATAGTCTAAATAAAATGCAGCACAGTAGTCCTTAGTAGGGGTGAGTGATATGGCTCAAATACAATATCGTGATATTTCAGAGCATTCTAATGATAACGATAAATTTTGTCATATAAAAAAACAGAAATCGTAGTTGTTCATTTGATTAAATTAATTTTAATTAATTAATTTAATCGTTCATTGTGCTGTGTTGTTTCCTGAAACCAGATTGATGGGAAGGTAAGATGTTAAAAGAATCCAAATACTTGGACTTGAGTATTTATCAATTTTTCTGAAACCTTAGCTAGAATACAGAGTTTGGAGAGTGGTTGATATTTTTTCAGTATAGTGGGGTCTCCTCCCTTCAGTAAAGGTAGAACAAAAGCTTTTTTCCAATCATTTATTTTCCATTCAACCTTTATACAGGTTAGTCTAACTGAGTTGTGAGGACTCATTAACAAGAGACCTGTTTTAAACAAAGAGCACTGATGAGGTACAGACAACAATAAACAATCATAAAAGTAGGGATGCACGGATCCACTTTTTTTTTTTAAACTTTTGATCTGATCGCAATACTTAAATTTGGATGTCGGCCAATACCGATACCATTCCGATATTATCAGTATTGATTTTATATGATGTAATAATCTCCTCTCTATAGGCAAGTACAATTTGTACAACTATATGAATGAATGGGGAAAAAAAAGATCTCACTTGTAAATGAATCTTTGAGGCTCAATGTGATTTATCTGTCTAAAATAAAGGTTGAATGAATATGCATGCATGTCCACAAAGGCAATTTGAGGTAAGTTTTATTAATGTTGGATACGTTTCAAAGTTAGAATTAAATCCTGCTAACACAAAACCTGTTTTTGTTTTTATTCCTAGCTTTAAAGTGGATATTAACGTGATTAAAAGGCTTTAAACATCTGCTAAGTTCATGGCATAAACCAACACAGACATGCTCCTGTTTTTAGTATTTTACATCGCTTTATAATGTAGCTGTTTTTGTTTCGTTTTTTTATACACAGTATATAATTTTCTTGTATTTTATTTTCAATTCATATGCTTTTTTATGATTGTCTGCTGTTGTACTGAAAAATATCTCCTGGAGGGAAAAATATATATTTTGGCTGAAAGTGTTCACTCAAGCTGTGAATTCCTTCGTTTTTTACAACTGATGGTGGTTGGTCATTAATTACGGTGAATTTTAGCAAATTATCGGTAAACGTTCGAGCTCCGTGGCTTCAGCGGCATGTTATTCTCATTCAATCCAAAGCAGGCAAACTGATTTTGGTCAGCCCTGCTCAGTCTGCCCCTCCTCTGAGACTGGCAGACTGGGCGGGGCAGATTGAGCGCGGCTGAGTGAAATCAGACTACCTGCTTCGGATTGAACTAGAAGAACACACCACTGAAGCCACGGAGCTTGAATGTCCAACGTAAAACTAACTTTACCGCGGTTTAATGTGGCGCAATGTTTGATTAAGTTTGTTGTATTGTAGGTTGTGACGGAGCTTCCTCCTCTCGGTACAGCGGCTTTGCAGACATTGCACTTTGCTGTCTTGCTTTGTGACGTTTCTAGTGTAAAATACTTCCACACAGCGGACATGTTTTGATGAAAAGTTGGTTAGCCTAATTGTCTGTATATAAGCCACTATATGCAGGAGCATCTTAATTATGCATTTTTTTCACATTTTGCAAAATTTATATATTTTTTTATTTTGACAGACTTCCTGTTGTTTCTCAGCAGCTTCATGAATGGGTCAAAACAGCATCTCATTGGTCATTAAGGTTGCACTTCTGGTCACATGATGACAGAGTAGGTAGAGTTATGGTAGTTAATTCTGAAACCATGACCTAGAATCGTAGCACATCTGATTACCTGCGGGCATTTTCCCTGTGTTTCAAATACCTGCCCCAAAGAGGGGTGAGGTGTTGGGAGCCAAGAGCACCCAGCCTTGTCAAAAGTAAATCATAGACATTGGCTCCAAGATACAAGTGCATTAATGAGGCTTCCTGTTTATAGTAAGCAAAGGTATAAAAAAAAAAGGTGCTAAATTCTTCAGATCATCCATCCATCCATCCATTTTCTTTACCCGCTTATTCCATTTTGGGTCACGGGGGTCGCCGGTGCCCATGTCCAGCAATCACTGTGCGAGGGGCGGGGGACACCCTGGACGGGTCGCAAGTCCATCACAGGGCCACATAGAGACAAACGAGACAAACAAACATTCACTTTCTCATTCACACCTAGGGACAATTTTAGAGTTACCAATCAGCCTAACATGCATGTTTTTGGTCTGTGGGAGGAAACCGGAGCACCCGGAGAAAACCCACGCATGCACGGAGAGAACATGCAAACTCCACCCAGAAAGGCCCCTGGACCGGGGTTTGAACCAAGGACCTGCTCGCTGAGAGGCAGCAGCTCTACCAGTTGCGCCACCGTGCTGCCTTCTTCAGATCAATTACTGTATTTTATGCCTCGTGACAGCCAGTGTGTGCACAGAGGACGGAGAACAGAGCGATGGGTGCTTTTTTTTTTAAGCCGTGTTAAAGCTGCCCCCCTCCTTCAGTTGTTCAAGATGTGAGCTCAGCTGAGCAGAAGTGCTCTAAGCAGTCAAGTCTACATATTTTAATAAAAGTTTTAAAGTTCTTTGTGTGACATATTTCTGTGTACGGTACGTGTGTTTAAATACAGAGACCTACCGTAATTTTAAGCTCACATCCAAACATTAAATGGAGCAGAGACAACAGGTGGGGCTGTACAATGAATCCCCGCGGCTTAACAGCCGGGGCATCTTATTTATTTACAAAATTATGAATTTTCTTATATTTCATTTGTGCGGCTTTTACACAGCTGCGCTTTGTAGTCCAAGCATTACGGTACTGTATTTACTCACGTTTCAGCTGGCTGCAAATTATGAAATGGATTTCTTGAATGTGAGGCAGGTCTTGTTACTCTGGGTTTCAGGAAATACACCTGTGTTCTGTAGGGTTTTGTCATTTTCCTTCCACCAGGTTCCTGAAGGCAGGGGCGGCGCTGATGAGCAGCTGCAGCTGAGACCATTTTCCCTAATTGGTGCCAGGAATACTTAAGGCTCCAGTTGAGCTCCAGTCATTGCTGGAGCATTGTTCTACCTGCCGGTACATATGCCTCCAGCCCTGTATAGTGTTCAAAGATTGAAAAGACTTACCTTGTTTTGTGTCCACATTTTCAGAGTCTTGATGTCCTGGATCCCGTCTTGTATTTTGAAGTATTGAAGAAGACCCTGAGGATAAACTTACTTGTGTTTCCTCGTGCTCAGCTGCCTGCACACTCATTCCACCACTTGCCTTTGCAGTCTGCCTGGTCATCATCCTGGAAGGAGAAAAACCCTCAGCCTGTCCATCAGCCATCCTAACTACTTTCACTGTAAGCCTCTCAAAGACCTTGAATATTCAGTTGTTGGATCATCTCCTCGTCATAAAGTAATCCTCCTCCTCTGTCTTCACAGACCCAGATCATGTTTGTAAATAGTTTATTTTTCACTCACTGTAAAATAAACATTGTTCAATTACGTCTGAGTTTGGTTCTGTTTTCCTCTCAGTCTGTTCACTTGGGTAACTCCACATTACAACAGAATGCTCCAGCCAGAAATCACCCAGAACATGACTGAGAGAGAACAGTCCCAACACTCACTGTCCTCACAGGCAAAGCGCATCGACAACCATGATGTGACCCTACAACAGATCCTGGAATTACAGAAAAGTAATCAGTTCAACCTTCAGGAAATGGGAGGTATGGTTTTTGCTTTAACTCAAAGAGTTTCTACTCTGTTACCTACGTCCCAAAGAGTTCCACCAGAGAACCTCAATCCTCGAGCCGCAACCAGAGATGTGGACACCCAGCCCAGTGAGATAACTTTCAGACCCTCTGATTTTTTTTTTCTGGTGATCCCGATCACTGTGGTGGTTTTCTTCTGCAGTGTCGCTTGGCTTTTAATCAAGCTCCTAAAACTTATTCTTCAGACGCTTCCAAAATAACGTACATTGTAAACCAATTGAAAGGGGATGCTCTTCGATGGGCCAACGCCCACCTGTCAACTCGATCTGTCGAGACTCTAACTTTTGCCTGTTTTTTAAAAGATTTTGAACTTGTGTTTGATCATCCACTCCAGCAGGAGGAAGCAGTGAAGCGCCTCCTGACACTACGGCAAGGCAGAAGGTCCGTCGCCGAATAT